AAAAAAAAAAAAAAAAAAAAAAGAGCAGAGAATAATCGTCTGGAAAGAAATAAAAAAGATTTGGCGGCACGTCCGCGAGTCACGAAAGAACACTCGCTCATTCACCTTTTTGCTACCTGGAAACACATGTCCATTACCACATGTGAATCCAGCATGCATAAGGAACCTATCCATACACTTTTTAATTCGTGGCCGTGTGGCAGAGGGCGGTAGGCGAGCGAGACGGTGGGGGGTGGGTGGCGATAGAGAGTTGAGCCTGAGGGGCGGCAAGTATTTGACCAGACTTACGTAGCAATTAACGCTCCTAATGCCGCTATAGTATAATTATAATTAGTGAGCTACGCCCTGTACGCCGCCCACTCAAAACTTGTACATTCGTATATACGTATATATATATACGAATATTTCGTATGTATGCATATACACGCCAAACTCACGTACGTCCCGTCGCCCCGTCGGTCAACACACTGACTCTCAGTTGTCCGCGTCCTGCACGATGCATTTAGAAGCTGGTGACTCTGTTATTATTTTCTACGCTAATTGTAGGCCTGCGATACTTTCTTTCTTTTCGAGACAGTTACGTTCTTGCGCCAAGTATTTCTCTCGATGATCTCAAACCTTGTTCTATACTTTATCAGACGGATCCGTTCACATGGGTGCCAAGGATACATCGCGTATTCACATACGTTACATACCATGTGAAGTTAACAGCAGCAGCCGTCGCGTAGCTAACGATAAGTATGAGGTTGGGCGAAAATCGCGACGCCGTAGTATCGACTTTTATACGGGAGAAATTTATGAGGGGAGGCTCGGAGAATTCTTGGAGAGATTGGTCCAGCGATTGGTCATCTTTGGATGGGTGCGAGAGAGAGAGAGAGGGGGAGAGAGAGAGAGACAGATGGGATGTACGTGTGTCTACGTATACGGGTAAAATTACTGAGATCGTCGAGGCGGTCTTAGCAGCAGGCGTACCAAGTGGTACGTACCGTACGGATGAGGGGTCCAGACGGGATGCTGGACGAGATGAGATGGGACAAGATCAGGGTTTATGTGTATATACTCCTGGTACCATCTCGAGATCCTGGTTCCTATCCATGTATATAAGCGCATTATGCGATTCGAAGTAACTGCTTCGGCCGCCACTTATCGTTAGCCTGGTCCGCTGTGCTATTGGCACGGCATGCCAGCCCAAGAACGGACCAATCGCACGGCATTACGAAGACAAGAGTCTGCGCGTGCCTTGGGGCGGCGTCTTGGGCCTCGCGTGCCTCGGCGTGGCCTCGCCTTACTCTTCACGGTCAGAGGTCATCGCCAAGCACGAGCCACCTTCGGCTTCTAAACTTCTTCTTCTTCTTCTTCTTCTTCTTCTTCCTCCTTCTCGACTGATTGTGAAACAGGCCCCGTTTTGCTCCTCCTCGTCTTATGCGTGCGTGTGCACCGACTAACACTCTTATCCGCACTTAGTGCTATTAACTATATTGCTTCTTTACTACTTCTTTGCACGCCCTCTTTCACTGAGGATGTGCATATATCACGTAAGAGCTTCAGACGCGTTGCCACTTCCAGGGTTGATCTCTGTAGGATTGAATAATTTTTGGTAATTCTTTGGAGGTGTTTCTTCAGATAGAAATTGAAGATTTTGGCTTGCGTCGTTGGGGGTTTTTGATTAGTGGGGATTTTTGGGGAATTAATTGGACGGGGCGTATATATTTGAATACGTACTTTTTTTTGGGGGATTTTATATAATTTTGTTGTTAACGAGGTACTTGTTACTCGAGCAGGAATCTTTGGGAGGAATCTTTGGACTTGCCGTCGGCTATGTTCCAACTTGTAGTGTCTGCTGTGTTCCTTATTCAATTGTTCCTTTTTGTTGTTTGGGTCACGCTCTTCTGATTCTTCTTTTCTTTGGCAATTACTCTTATTGCATTTTCTTCATTTTTTTTTTTGTTTAGATCTGTAAATCAGGGTTTTTTTAACGTTACTGTGCCATGCTGCTTTTAATCGTATTAGATTTTATGTTCGGATAATAATGCTTGTAATGACATTTTGTGGAATTGTTGATTTTATAGAACAAAAAATTACCTGCTAAATTTGGAAGAGGAAATTTGTGTGGTGTCTTGTAACGAGCACTCTCGTAGACGTAGACCGGAAACCATTCGGTTAAGTTGATTCCCTGTAATCAGTCGTAACCATACAGACAGTAGTTCGAAAAAAACAAAAAATTGGATAACCTATCCATCAAGGATGGATGAGGGTAATACTCACATTCCATAATCCTTAATTATGCTAAATGATCGGTTATCAGGATTTTATGGCTTATATCTTCAATGAAATTGAAGCGACGCACCGCAGATTGTTCTTGGATCTTAAAGTCGTTCAGTATATTTCTTAGAATCTCTAAATAAAACAAGTTGCCATGCAAATTTCAGCCGTACAATTATATCCTTGTATTTTTTGGACCGCCATTTATTTTATCTGTTCCAATCTCAGGCGGTTAAGTTGTAGCATATCCGGTGTCCAAATATTTTGTGGATTCAGTAATTATTTTCTTACTCGAGTCTTTAGCGCCGAGACGAAGCAGCTTCTGAGCTTAACAAGAGGGCTGCACCAGTATACCTGGATACACTGTTGGTAAAGCAGCGACTGCTCGATAAAGGAAGACTCCTGCAGACTGAGATAATAGTGCTGTTGAAAGATGGCGGATAGAAACGTGTCGGTAATGCCAGTCGGTAACGTAGGTATCCCATGATCCATGCACGGCATCACCAAACACCATGGTAACAAAATTTATCCGTAAATTTATACTCACCAATAGATGGTTCCGCCATCTACAACCCTTTTCGTGACCCTTTGAAATACCTTGCGTAAATCCTCGCAAATCATAATTATTACGTCGTCCAGAATCTGCTGTCTTAAGCAATAACAATACATGTTTAGACTTCAGCTTTATACTATACAATTTGCATAGAGCCACAGCATCCAGTTTCCATACTGGTCCATGCACCTTTCATAGAACTCGAGAACGACATGACCTTATAAGACAATAAAAAAAAAAAAAAAACTTATAGATGCTTCGAAGTAATAAGCGATAATCAATAGGTTAGATACTCGCGATACGTACATCGTCAATAGATTATCATTACGTTGAGAGTAATAATTATCGAAACGTAATAATCAGTATTCAGTAAAATTCCAATCAGTTAATCTATACAAAGGGAATAGCGACTTAATTTTTCTCTCTAATTAAAAAGAAACCAAAAATTCTCAAAGGACAATTCAATTCCTAAATCATACTCTGTCTATTCACTCGCGTCTAGATACGCGTCGCGTCGTTCGCGGGATTTTGTCTTTTTTTTTCAATTTTTTTTTAATCCTCGCACGTACCGCATTTGTTATGCATACACGTGGAGCAATCAAAGGAAACAAGTGAAGCCAGCCGTAATTTATTACCCGCAATATGCAAGCTCACTAGGCAATGGCAGTCGGTAGGTTACGTTGCCCACATCATAGACAGCGCTTAAGATTTACGCGTAGATACGCGTTCCCTTCGTATTTTTACTAAGCGAGAAGACGGCCCGTGATATTCTCTTCTCCCGTTATAACGATATTATCTTCTTATTGATAGAGAGAGAGAGAAAGAGAGCGAGAGAGAGAGAGAGAGAGAGAGAGAGAGAGAGAGTACCGGGAGTGGGGAATTTTTAATTAGCCCGAAGCAGTTCGATTAAATCCTGCCGAGTAATTACGACTAGGTTAGCAGCGAGCGACAACGTTACGCAGCATAACCGTAAAGGTACTCACACCGTCTCTCTCCCTTAATCTTTAGCACTCTTTATCCTTGTCCTTCGATCACGGATACTTGCTCACAGTAAACTCACGAAAAAGATCCGTCGTGTCTGCATTGTCGACTTCTTAACAAATATATAGCAGGACAGTCTCTTAATACGCGCGGCCATTGTGAGCCTCGACGCAGCCCAGGTATGAGCAGACGACGCGACGTTCCCATTGCCTTCGCCCCGTAGCTTCTTTTCTATTTCTCATCTATCGTATGCTTTTCTTTTCTCTCCTTGTCTTTTACGTTCCAAGTGCAGCCTTTCGATTCGCAATTAATGGAGAAAGGTGACCACTCGAGTTTTCTTTCTCCAGGGAATCACCTTCTCGATATTCAAAGCACGTGCATACGATCCTGACTAACTTTTCTCTGTGTAATCCTGTCAATTTTTCACAACACCCACACTCGGCACATTCCCCAGCACAGTATACACGAGCCACGCGACTAGTCAAAAACGAAACTGTAGCGACTCGCGTACAATTCACATGAGAGCCCGCCCTTAGCCCACGATACTTTTATACGAAAAGTCAGTCCCGTTCCTACCATAGACATTTCGTAGCGTCGTTCAAGTGCGCCGGTCGAACGGCAACCCGGTATACAATATCGTTACTACGTGCGAAGTACAACGCACGTCAATTTAACGACTGTGTCTGATGACAACAGTGTAATTGAAAAAGCTGTAATTTCTTAAGCTCCCGAACAACGAGTGACACTGTTAAATGAGAATGTAGAAAATTCACTGTGCCAACGTAGCTGTTTATACAACTTACTGTTGTACGCTGGGCCTTTATGACGTCTGAATGGTACGTACTATCTGAGATAGCGGGCACGTAATCAACCTGCGTTGATTTCTGTTTAATGGCTCGAGTCTTGATGATCCCTGATGATGTCCGATAGCACTTGGACCGGTGAGACGATTAATCCATCCGGATTGATGATTCAAGATTTATAGGCTGCGCGATGTAAGGTGCGTGCACGTTACTCTCGCGCAAAATGGCTCGTATTATGGCTCTTGCTCAGTATTTATGCTACCGTTGTCAAGAGTCTCTGTACGGTATACGCTGTACCTATAACACCGTTAACGAGTCAAAATCGCACAGCATCCGACGATGACTACGGCTGGGAAGTAAGGTGAGGGAGATGGTCGGTCATCATTATCCTTATCACCATCACTGGCAACGTGCCGAAACGATCCTGTCCCAATGTTCATCTGTCGTTAACCAAGTCGAACCTTGACTCGTAACAGTTCCCGATTAATTTTCTGACCATGCCATCCACGAGTTTATCGATACTCTTCTATCGATTGTAACAGATGCTTCGATGTATCGATAAAAATCGTTACCAACGCTTACGATATTACGATTGCGGATGACGCGGAGTGTCGATCAAAAATGGAGAAAAAAGGGAAAATTGAGTTTAAATTTTTTTTCGAAATTTCGTTTATCCTTCAATTTGACGTCTTTTGGGTGGACCGCGTGGCGTGAAAGGGCCCTGTCGCGAAATAATTGTATCGCCATTCCAATTATCCGACGTTCGCCGATCGATCATCAATTAAAATGCCGGGGCTAGGACACGTGTAGGTACATAAAAGCGGGTCTTCAATCAAATAAACTCGTATACGCTCTCGGAGCGGAGTCGGTATAGAAAGTCCGAGTTGCCTATCAGTTCACTTTGAGATCGAAAATATCTCTCATGCATTAATCATATCTGCACACGCGAGCCTCAAGTCACGTCGGATCTTGGCGACTACCGTCGCGGCTATTGCCCACTCATGTTATATACTGACAATCCGTTGGACAATCTTATAGGTTACAGGCGAAAATCAAAAGATCAGCCTAAACGATATATATAAAATCAACGTATCCAAGTATATACGTATAGGTATTCGCAATGATCCTCGACTTTTCTGATCCTGATTTTCAATAATGGTATACCTGTCCAATTTATCCGCCATAAGTATCTCTGAATTGGTAATACGACAACCGCTGGAATATCTTGCATGGAAATATATATGTATACATTGCGTGTTCCCATTTCTAACCGCAAATTACACCAGGACCAGATACATCTCGGGTATTTAAAGTCCTCCGGTCATAGACCAATAATTGTTATAGATAGGTACACCCTAGGGTAACTGACAGTACACGCAGTACTTACACGGGTATTACCGGAGCGACATGTCCCGTGCTTTCACTCGACTTTCTTCTTACCCAGCAGAATCATCATGCAAATTTTGCTGTTCCCTGTGTCGACCAACTAATTCACTGTGGTCGGATCGACGCCTGTCGGATTGCGTAATTTTATTCCTCTCTTTTCCTTTTATCTTGTCTGTCTCTTCTTTTTTTTTTTTTTTATTTATCATCGTCATCATCGGCACCGGCCTCTTTGTTCCTTCATTGTTACTATGATTGGCATTCGGCAATGTGTCGTTAACGGTACGTTAATGGCGCCGGGTCGTCATAGTGACGAGCGTGCGAAATAATGACGATAACAACAACAGCGATAGAGTTCCCGAAAGGCCCACGGGCCCAAAATCCATAAATTCCCATGACTTTAGTAACCGTTCGTACTGACCCATTTCTCGTGCTACTCGTACGGCAGGAATTACGTATTATCAGGGCAAAGTAAAAAGTGGGACTCGCGAGTCCCAAAATTAATGGACGGCTATACGTGTGTCTGCACGTTTTTTTTTCACGCGATTGGTATAGTACCCGCTGACGAATCTTTTATTATTATACCCAACCGTGCATTCATAAAAAGAAGCATACGGGGACCCAAGTCCCCGGGTACCACTCCCTCGATGTAAAATACATAATGGGTCTCACACGTGGGGGCCACGCGTATGCGCCGTTACGCAAGAGGTCAGACCAATGAAATCCAATCGATCGAGGTCTTGATGATTTTTAATCATCGATACGAGAAATGAAAGTTTTAGGTTCAGTAGGTGCGTTATTAAAAAAGTTGTATCGGAAATTGCTGCTTGGGGCCCGATAGCTGCCGATCCGTTGTTTTAATAGTTACATACACGCGCTGACCCCTTAACATCGTATCGGATCCTTTTTGTCGAGCGTGACCCGCATTCGGGATAAATGCTCGGGCGGCCTTTTTTGCGACGTCATAAAATCTCTCCAAAGGATCGTCGTGACTGGGTAGACGTTATTAAAAAAAAAAAAAAAAAAAATTAAAAAAAATATATTTTTGCTTACAACTTACGTGATACCAATTTATCTCGATGAAAATTTCAATACTCTTATCTGTCCCTGATTACGATGGGAGAAATCGTTTAAATTTCAATTGGCAAAATTATCCTTGTACGCGCGGACGATACGTCGAACGATTCGATGATTACGTTCGTATTGTGCTATCGTTACGTAAATACGTATATACGGGTACAGCAAGTAATATTGGGATATGCCAACGTACAGTCGGTCGGATCGTGTGGCATATTGGTACGGTAACCTTGAGAATAATCCAGCTTCCAATTTAGAGTCGATAATTCGATCGATCATATTACAAAACCAACAGAACCAACAGAACCAACGAATCCTAACGTATGTTAACGTTGGGCTTGTATATGTATTCTTGTTTTTACAATGTTCAGTGATCACGAGGCGATCGAGGCGTACGAGATTGATCGGTTTCAGATCATTTGCGTGATCGCTCGTCGGTTTGGCATAGGTAATGCCTTCGGGGCTGTCTGAAAGATCGGCAGTGATTTTCATAGAAATGATATTGGCCGAATTAAAGATTTTTTTTTGCTTCTTTTTTTTCCTCTTCATTCTTTCTATAGCATTTCACATTGAGAATGGTTTATGGAATGTAGTCATTGTTTAGGGTTACGTTTTACAGTGCTTACCGTAGCTCTGTGGTATTGCAAGCAAGCAGGTAGGCAGACAAGGTGTATGTACATATATATATATATATATATTTACATGAAGAATAGCATAGGGGAACACATAAGCAGATGGAGAAAAATCGTGTCTTCGTATGATCTACCTTATGGGATTTATTTCTACCGATCATTTCTTCGATACGGAACTGATGCTGCATCGCTGGACCATAGGATCTATAGCATCTTGCGATAACACTTTGAAAAATATATATATACTTTTTAAGGTATTAATCGTAGTCTTGGACGATTTTCCCAAGTACTCGGAAACGGTTGCGATTTCTTGGGCCTGACAGTTGGCGAATTATTTTCGATCCAAGTCGATTTGGCGTGGCTGTCTGGGGTTTGCATTTTTATGGAGCGACTGTGCATTGGAAATTCGGAACGTAGCCGAAAGATTGACAGTGATTGGTAGATGGAGTGACGGCGATCACAAATAAACTTAACGAGTGTCAACCACCTCGACTGTCAGCTACCGATTAATCTTCTGGTGTCGTCTGAAGAGACATGGTCCAAGTAGAAATGGAGAACACTTCCCCTTATCTTATTTCTTTCGCGTTAATATTTAATATATATATATATATATATATATATAGAGAGAGAGAGAGAGAGAGAGAGAGAGAGAGAGAGAGACATTATAAAAGTTAGATAAGGGCATTTCTTTCGCGTTAATATTTATAAACTTAACGAGTGTCAACCACCTCGACTGTCAGCTACCGATTAATCTTCTGGTGTCGTCTGAAGAGACATGGTCCAAGTAGAAATGGAGAACACTTCCCCTTATCTTATTTCTTTCGCGTTAATATTTAATATATATATATATATATATATATATAGAGAGAGAGAGAGAGAGAGAGAGAGAGAGAGAGAGAGACATTATAAAAGTTAGATAAGGGCGAAGCGCAACTCGTAACAGGAAGTAATGGTATAATAAGGATCGTTCTGCGCATGCGCAAGTAATAAAGATGAATGAATGACATCTATAAGCTGTATATACATCTATAGCTACGCGTGCAGTTAATAAGGCTATTCAAAAGCCGTATCTCTATGTACATCGTGTCTCGTGCTGCGTATAGATATTTTTGTACGATTTCTACACGTATTAAAATGAATTCGCCGCTTTACGCGGCGTCGGTAGTGTCCGAACGTTTATTAAGGATTTACGTAAATTCGAACGTCTCTCCAGCGGTTTCGGTAGGACTTTTCGATATTCAAGCGCGTAGTCCAGTCGCGCAATGGGAATAAAATTCTCGAACCACCATGAGCTCCATATAGGGAATCCTCGCTCGGACGAAGGCCGTGAATCCTAATGGCGTAGACGGTGGGCCCGATGGGTAATATGGGCGAAGTTCGGCGTATCGGCGCGAGGGGCGCGCGGGCAGCGCTAATTAAAATTATTGTTCGCGGCGCATTTGACACTGACAAATATCGCGAAGTGTCAGTACCTCGGGAGGTGCGTGGAATTTTTCACCTTCGACCGTTAATCAAAGATAACTGTCGTTATTAACATTTCTGATTGCCAAGCATCTATCAATATTAGTCACGTGTTGTCTTTCGGTCCGGGTCAACCCGAAGTTGCCCAACCGTCGGCCAGTTGTGAAATTCGAGATAATCTTTGGTATCGTGTGCGTCGGGCTCGTTAAGATATTGCTATTTGTTCTGGGACGCAGTGTCGCTCGGTAAACATTCGTTCGAGTCATTTGGTAGAGGTGTTTTACGTGAAGGAAGGAGAGAGAAAAGAAAAGAAAAATTTTAAACAGAAAACAGCGCCGATAGAACGAAGTTGCAACCCTGTGAATTGTACATAGGTGCGCCTATGCGTAATGGGCAGAGTACACAGAAAGCGATATGCATTATACTACTGTGCCATCCGGGTACACAAGTGCGATTGGCGTTCGGTGTTGAATAATTGATAAGAAATATTTTTCTTTTTTTTTTTGTTTTTTCAACGAATTTGTAATTTATTGATTTTGTGGTTATTCCTCGCGTTTCTCTTTACCGACCCCTTACCGACGCTGCGTAATCTTGTCCGCTTGCAGGATTCGCCTGTTCGACCTGTAAGTCGGTAATTCTAAATATCATTTTCTAATGCACGTTCATCGTTCGTAATGATTTTGCACTGACGGTTATACCAATGGAATATATATATATATATACACACACACACGATATACGTTGATAAAAGTCTTAAGGTCAACCAAGCGACCTTTAACAACCTTAATGAGATTTGGACAAGGAATTCGTTTAAAAGCAAACGACGAAGGACCTTGCCTGAGGGACCCCAAGCGTGGCAACCAATGATTACAGTACGAGACCATTATATAAATCTATAATTATCCTTCCGTAATGACCACTCGAGCGTCACGCTACGCTCGACAGGGCCAATCGGATGGTAGCGAGTCTCCAAGTGTCGATGGGCGTCCTGCGTCACTGTAACTTTCGAGCAGATCGACGATAACAGTGATAACAATGGGTATAGTATGGAAGAGGTACAGCAGCGCCTCTATCGGAGCCAGTGCCAAGTAGGGAAGGAACATGGCCGATTCCGAATCCATATGACGGAATAACCGTTATATTTGCGAAGGGCGGAGAGAGACGGAGACCCTTCGCAACGCGTACAGACTTGTTCAGGAAAAACGATATCGACCGAAGTGTCATTGAAATCGAATGAATCGGGGCTAACTTCGGGTGGTGCCGTTTGGCCTGAATAACCCTGTATACGAGATGCGCTGTTCTCGGTGCCCGTGAAAGGGGAGCGCGGCGGCATACCGACGAAATTAAAACCTCGAGGGAATAGGGGAGAGTCGAGCACGATCGGCCGCGTAATTACTGCGTCGAGGTATCATTGCCAGGGACACAGGTTGGTGATTCGGTCGGTAATGTTCGGTAAATCCTTCTTATTTACGTGACCGTATTGGCCGGCTCGTGCTTAGGTATTCTGTATATATGTCTCTACTGTGTATATATACGCGTAGTACCACACGCTGTACAGACTTTACGATTGTCACGGACACGTTCCGGCTCTTGGTATGGAATTGTAAGAATCGATGTCGTCCGCGAGGAGTATGTCAATTTTATGATCTCTTTCTCTTTCTCGGTCCCTATGGTCCGGACGGGCATCAGAAAATTGGATGGAATGAAAAATTCGAAATCGGTAATGGCGTCCGGCTCGTGCGAGTCCGACCCGTTGTGTCGGCGGTACTTTCTGCCACAGTCAATAACCTTTGACGCTAATCCGAAAGAGAGTGAAAAAAAATACTTTTTTTTTTTGCACGTTTATGGAGAAAGTCAATGCACCTGACACCTGTTGACATTGACTCGGATAGGGCATTCTTTTTTTTTTCTTTCTTCTACCCTGAATGCAAACCCACATGGAGATTTGTCGAATTTACCCCGGAATCACATACGGGACCGACGAGAACGTGGAGAGTCTACGACCGGATTCAAAGGCTTCCAATTCATTTTACGTAATACCTACTTACGCCTACTCGACAAACTCCAGGAACTCGACCCGCATCGCCAGATGCTCCATACCGACGCCTCGTACAGATTCCTCACTCGTATGCTTGCACGTGTTATATATACGTACCATAGTCATGCATACGGAACACGTGAGCCTGTATAGGTACCAAATTCCAGTGGAATCGATCCGGACGAGAATTTAGCAGGGAACTTCAAACCCATCCAGAAAATTATCTGGGTTCGAATCCTGACCCACGTACGATGATCCTGTATAATATAGATTAGATGGTCAGAAGGTTATCTAGATAATTATCCATGGATGCACGTGAATAGAGTTTTTGGGTTGTCAGGCAAGTCTAAATATACCGTATTGGTATTAACAGTGACGGGTGGGCATGGGTAGTTAAAACTTGAGAGATTCAAGTTCAGGCATGGATGCGTGGTCCATGGGACGAGTATACGTACGACGCGTGTCGACTGAATAAATTCCATGGAACGTAGGAACACATGAACGCCGGAACGGACGGACACACCGAGGGAATGAACGGACAAGGTGCGCTGGTCACTGGGGCGTTGACCTGATGCTGGGCTGGACCAAAGGAGCCAGTGCGAGCGAGACGGAATCACGGAGCAGGGAGTGAGCAAGGGAGGACCTGTGATGCCGAGGAAGGAGGATAGAGCGTATGGACGGTACCGTAGGTCGAGGAAGAGGGAGAGATGGGAAAGAAAGAAGAAGATGAGAGAAGCTGAATAATTTCTCTGACGACGATGATGATGGATCGGATAATTAGATCTTAGTGATTTTTTTCAAAATTGTATGAAAATTCGTTCCCTCGATTTCTTAATTGGATCCAACGTCGCGCACCGCATTCGGGTACTGGCTCCTACGGTTGACGTCCGGGTAATTTTTGGAAATCCTGACGTTACGTTGAAAATGAAAGTGTCCTCGGTGCTCTATGGGCGTTTTACATTGAGCCCGGTGACGGCTCTTGTTACTTATATCAAATGCGCGCTTTGTTGTGCAAGCACGGTGACTCGTGTGTTACCGTTGACTATTCACTTTCGATGGCTGCGCCAATTGGAGCGCGACGAAACCCACTGCATCCAATGTTTATTGCTATTGCTGAATTTTTTCTACCACCTCTCCGGGATCCGCGTATCGGTATTTAATACGTGACAGCACTGTCCTCCGTGGATCACGGTCTTTTCTCTTGCAAAGAATCGCCATCGGTATCGCCGTAAAGCCCATGTCAAATTGATACTCGTGCGACGTCATCGGGCCGGCATGGAAGAACGGCCAGGCGAGATCCTTTGGTGGTTTAAATTAACCTCGATACGGATTATTAACAAGATACCATACGCGAACGTCCTTGCGATTCTTGCTGAATTATCATCGTTATTCGTTTCCATTATGGCGACGGTATCGATCGGACCTGTGGAAATAAAAGTCTCTGGTAATTCGGTTAGGTACAGTCCGGACGATAAAAAATATTGAAAGATTAATTTCGACACTCGTTCCCAGGCTGGTGTTTTGGATGAAGTTTCAAGGGTGACGGAAAATGATGCTGTGCCAAGGAAGTGGGTCTAGGTGTATGACGAGATGGATTTGTACTGCTGGCACATACGTAGGTCGTAGGATGAACGTGATATCGTGTGGTCGAAGATACCATTTGTCGACCGCGAAACCACGACTAACCTCTGCCGAGACGCCGGAGGATGCTGCGTGGCCTAATGGTCCAGTGCCAGTGGTTGCGTCATTTATTTTCATCTCTGGAAACTCGACGGCCAGACGACCGATTCTCGTGTTAATAATATTATCCGGGATTTTCACTTGCACTTTGAAGATACGGTATCTGCGAAGAAATTTAGTATGTACATCCTGTTACTCGTTATCACCCAATCGCTTTGACTTAGCGGCTAATTACTGTACTGGTCGTGCTGTACGTGGATGAAGATTTCTAATGTACCATCAGTCAGTCTAACCTGTCCGAGTAATGAGTACTCGAGTATAATTGCATTGAGCATACAGCACGTTTCTTGATCTCTAATGAAGTATGAGTTATGGGTCCGATGCGTCTATCCTGCCATTGGAATTCAAGTGCAGCGGAGTTTGTGTATGATTTTCAAATTGATTGCTTACCCACCTTTTTTTTTTCATTTATTGTACTTTGCATTGTTAAAAATTTGGTATACACGGAGGCTGGTGGAAGGTGAATGGCGGCTGTGAACTGTTTGATGTTATGTGACAAAAGACTGAAAAAAAAAAAGATAACGATCGGGCAATTCGCATGGCTGCCCGATCAGACATTGGCGAGTGTCATTAAAATTATAAGAAATTGTGCCAGGCCACGCCTGTGTAATATTATCATTGATTGCGGGATCAATTAATCTAATGGAAATTGATAGAGCAGTTTACGTGATCGTTATAACTTGTAATGCTTTTACGTAAAACGTTTTATATTATTTTTCATTTTTTTTTTTTTTTTTTCCACTTGTAACTTTTGTATAATCGTATCGCGTGTAGTTGGAAAAATTTTCTGTTGAGGATTCGAATTGGGAGAAAAATGTATGTAAAAAGATTTGAAAATATTTAGCAGTATATTTTAAGCTCACTTGAAGGTTCATCCATATCGCTTAGGTTAGATGGCCTGGGACATCAAGGATATTGTGCGAGGGTTCCATGTGTGGGCATGTGTGGTGGATGGGACGACGGCGTCAGGATCGGCGTCGTCCTCCCTATCTGCATCCGGCAGAGACGCTTCAGAATAGACGTGAAAATATGCTCAAAGATTTCTCCCGGGAACGTCAAAGCCGTTTTGCCATCCTGTAAAGGATATTATCGAGGGGCCGTTAATCTGAAAAAAAGAACCTCTAACCACCCCGCCATATCCGTACTTTGTTAGATAACCTACTGCGCTTTTTTTCCTTCTCTTTCTTTCTCTGCCTCTCTTCTTCGGTACCCTCGTTCAAAGCTGAAAGCAGCCTCGCCGCTTATTCTCACATTCTTTCGATACACTTGGCTTCATTTTGATCCTGGACGAGAATTCGCAGTGGTCTAACCTAACCTGCAGTCCCTGTAAAAAAGACGAGAAATACGAGCGAGCAATTGGACAAGTGTACAGGGAAGAGAGAAAAATAAAAAGGAAACAATCTCCCCTTTGGTATGCGAGAGAAGAAGCAATTGATGGTGAAAGTTTGAAGGTTCACTATAGATATTGACAGCTTTGACAGGTAGCCGTCCATCCACTACTGGTTAAGGTAGTATGGTAGAGTTTGCCTGAAGCCGTAATGTGGTTTGTCAAATTTCATAGTAAAAATCGAAAAGATATATTAAAATGTGATTATAATACTGTCAAATTATCATTACTCTGATAAATAAATCGTAATGCTTACTGAACCCCCAAATCTTCACCGTTAATGCACAGCTCGACTGTAAGCAAATTTTTTTGTTGTGCCACCAGACGCAGCTGATCGAACTATTTCGATGAGACATTACAAAACGTAGGGTTGACTTTCTGGGATAACTCTACCATTACCAACATTCATAAAATCCCGTCGGGTCCTAACGGCGGAATTGTCTAGCTCGGTGCTCGCTATTAAAAAAGTCTAGTGACACTAGTCGACAATAGATCGCTCTGCCGGTACTTATAAGTTAGTTCTTGGTTCGACCGCTCGTTTTTCCGGGGCGCTGCATTCTTTCCTAACGAGAGCCGGTCGCCTACGTCTCTTGCGTCTGAACGTATTTGGGTTAACGTATGGAGGAATGTTTCTGCTCTGACAGCTAATTCCGTACGAGACGTATGTACCTACCTATTCTTAAAGCTGGTACAAAGAGTATCAACCGTACAAAGTGTACTGTGTATATGCATCTGCCATATAAAATATCCACGACAGTGTATACGAATACACTAACCTCAGTTTACGTGTCCTGACAATCAGTACGCAAATTCAACCGGACTCTGTGTACATATCCTACGACCGTCTATATTCGCAACTCGCATTTGCCTCGGTAAGATTTATTCACTTGTATCAACCGTGCAGAATAATTTGTAAAACCTTATAGCGACGCGTGGCAAAGTGCGCTGGAGATTTCTAGATAGGATCGAAGCCTCACGCGAGCCAACTTCCTTTTCCTATGGTGTACGTATACATAGTGTGTATTCAGGTACGTAGCTATATCCTTATTCTGGATTATTATAGTGGTACGCCTGTCTATATTGTATCTTATATTGTAGGTATAATACATAACGTTGCTCCAACTGGCCGCTTCTTCTCTCTCGCTCCTCTGGAGTCTCGATTCAGGAAGTCACTGTCGATACCGGGCAGCACGACGTCTCGATCTATCACGCCCAACAGCTTTCAATCGGTTTTCGACTTGACAAGTTTTTGCCCTGTTGACCCGCGCCACCATTAATTCCAATACCCAACCGATCGGATGATAACCTGGCTCCCGTAAGACATCCGTAACAACACCGGATCCATATTAGGACCTGGATACAGTTAAGCCGGTGCGTGTAACGTTTGCTCAGTACGAGAGCGAACAAGCGACTTCCTATAGTCATTCAAGCTGTATATATATATATACAATCATCCTTTTAATGATACACCTTGGATAGTCTAATAGGAATGATCCTATTAAGGAATCCCATTAAGGGACATTTCTTTTTTATACTAGTGCAAGGTATCATTCCTAGTTCTCGAAACTACATAGAAGTTCTTGTGGGTGGTACTGAAACGATATGCAGTCGGCTGCAATGAATATGTGAACTTTTTTTCTTGTTTTATGTAATTTCAAATTTATCTTAAACTGATAAACCACTCGAAATCGTCATGCAGGAGTTTATAGCGTGCGTAAAGTCATTTCAGTTGGCAGCAATGCACATCCTCGTCAAGGTTCTTCATTGATTCCTTTGCCAAGCACACGCCATCTTTGCTACAACTCCGCATTCCTTGTTTATTTCTCTTATTTCTTTTTTTCTCTCCGACGTGGCACATGTCTCGAAGAGTATCAACCGCCTTGCCGATTCGCAGCGGTTAAGAGATTGATTTTCAATGGGATTCAACGTTGCAATACGATCTCGGTTGATCGCGTTGAAATTGTTGGTATTGACGATATAATTTTTGTCCTCGGTGATATTAAAAATATATATATATTTTTTTTAGGAATATTCGGAATCCTTGAAATCGACACGCCACGTGCACGACAGGACATCAACATTGATTTTAATAACGCAATCTAGTTTTGCACGTGGTACTAGGTACTGAAAAATTTCGTAGAAAGAATCTACGACGAAGATTGACCAGCAATTTTCGAAACTTCCAATACAACGCTGCCTGGTCCAACTGAGAATAGACCTTCCTGCTGCTGACCATCGGCAATATATTTCCAAGAAGCATCCATTTGGTAGCCATTAAAATGCTCTATACTCGAAGAAGAAGAGGTATATAGAAAAAGTGGATTCACACCTTTCTGCTTAATTCTGAGCTCCATATAAACGGCACATGCTATCTGTACAAGAACAGTAACAGAGCTACCAACCTTACGACTGTATCACAGTATGATACAGAGAGTGAGTTTGATAAAAATAGCCTGAATTATAATAAAATAGTAAACACCTATGATGCCAGAGCGAATAATAATAATAAATGATGAGGATGCTGCCAGCTCCCAAGAGTAACATAAGAGAAGGTCAACCCAAGTGGGCGAATCGGTATAGATACTCGTGTATTCAATGGTATCCCGAGTACCATAAGCATAGCGAGACTCGATAAAGAAGGTAGACGGTTACGGAGGTAAGGGAACAAGCTGAGACAGACAAGGAGAGAATGACGTTGTGAAGATGTAAAAGAGTAACAGGTATAGATCGTACGTACGTACAGTCGTACGAGGATGCTGGGGATATTGGGAGAGAGTGGGAGGGGTATCCAGGAAAAGAGAGGAGACGCATTAACATGAGACACGGGTGGTGGCGGCGGCGGCGGCGGCGGCGGTGTCGAAGATGGCGATGGTAGTGGTACCCAGGGTCCAAGGTAGAGGCAGTAGAGGTAGACCTGAAAGATGCTGGAGGTGGTTGGAAAGGTGGTGGTGGTCAGCAGACAGCGTAGCAGTCACAGCACTTGCTCTTAGCAGGGAGTTTTGCCCCTTCCTGCCGCGGGCGGCGCCATACGGCTCCTTTCCTCTTTTCGCCTCTAGGCCATTCTCGAGGGGCGCGCGCGTCAAGGCGGTATCTATCTTGACTGTCTGAATATAACGCGAGCCAATACGCGTGCGCGTGAACGGACTTTTCCCGGGACTTTTCCGAAACGTCGACACGTGACCGGGCGACCACGTGAGTTCCGGACAGGTGCGCACGGAGTCGATAAGAGTTTAACGAGAAGTTTCAAAAGTGACGCTGTCAACGAAATCCGTACGGTACTACTGTTTACAATCATCCGCGGTCCAGGCGACACGAAAACTGGACGATCGTTATGGAGTAACCGAGGTGCCGAATTTCCCCCAGGAAGTGCTGAAACGGCTTCACGGCCTGAGGATACTCGAGGATATGGACCTGGTGAAAACTGAAGTATCGACTGGTTTTCCGTATCGTCCCGTAGGACGACGTCCGGTCGTAGGGTGTCGTCGTTGACGTCTGACAGTCGGAACACGGCGGAACGAGGACGAGGTTGGTAGTCCTGACCAGGAATCGTCCTGGATACGTTACCAGCTCTAGGTGCCGGTACTGGAGGATCAGGTCCGAGATAAATGCCACGTTCGTCTCTGCGTGAAGTCTGACAGGATTTAGTAACGTTGATTTCGCAACGTGCCAGGTACATTTATCGCACGGAGGAGGTCTAACCTTTTGCTTCCTCAAGGTCCTGCCATTAATAACGTTTCAATTATTAATTGCGCGACCTTTGACACGCGTTTACCTGGAACTGGAGGTCGAGACCTTTCGAGAGACGATCCAGGTGCTCGCCGTCTTATCCAGAGTGAAGTTTCCGTAGTTCCTGAGAGAACGGACGCGTCGCGACGTCGAAGGCACAGTAACGAGGATCAAGAATTGAGTACTGGTCCAGAACCGGGGACGATTGCGGGCGTCGATGCGGCGTCGAATCCGACCGGTGAAATCAGCTTGGGTCCGACATTGAGAACGGTAGCCAGCTAACCCACCGACGGACCACGTGACTTCTGGACCGACCAGTGAGACAGGTTTGCGTCTGGTCGCCCTGCGTCGCCCCCGCTTCGGCTCTCTTCGGCTCTCTTCGCTCCCGTCTCGAGTCCTTCCGATCTGTCTCCCTACCTCTGATCTCGCTACGCGCCTCTCCTTCCCGCGATTCAACCACTTTGCCTGGCCTCACCTCGCTTCGGACACGCTCCACGAGCCGTTGGCACTGCTGATCGTTCACCTCCCATGAGAAGCGCCATGAAAAGGCCAGGACGCCTACGTAGAACGGCAGGAGTCCCTGACGGAGGAAGTGCGTCACGTTGTCAACATGCCTGGTGATTTCAATGCTAGAGAGAGACCTGCGCCTTTGGTACCAACCTCATCCTCAGAAATAAACTGAAGTCCAGGCGAATCCCGAAAACTGATCGGCGAACAGGATAAACTCGAGGACGTGTCTCGAGGTCGTCGAGCGTCAGCTGGGCGCGATGTCGGTGCTCGAGGGCGCCGAGACGGACAGGACCACGATGTCGCCGCTGGACGAGGTCGCGTCCCCGACTAGCGTAGAATCCGAACTCATGGTCACCGATATGCTGGAGGAGCACGAGTCCCGGTTAAATGACCCGAGGGACGGAAAGAGGAAGAGGAACACGGACGGGGACGAGCTCAGTCCCAGGAAGCTGCCTTCTCTCTCGAGCAATAATAACGACGTAGGATTCGTATTGGATGACAATGCCGATGACGGTATGCAGGAGGATGGTGAAGATGTAAGTTTTTTTTTTTTTTTTTTCTTTTTTAAATTCCCTAAATACTCACGTATAGGGATGTACCATGTACCCTATACCTTTTAACTGTATACTTCTAGGCACTACCAGATCCTTACTAGGGATACGTTTTAAGGATTCACTCGTTCACTGTTCACCTCTTTTTTTCTCACTCGCCGGCGGCTCCTTCGAGCACGATGACGAGAGGAGACACTTTTTGCCTCGGGCCCTCTTTCGTCTCGCGGGCCACCGGTTCCGGTATCTTCTTCACGTTCGTCTCTCCTCGACCACGAGGGTTTCCCAGTCACCCTCAGGGTGTCACGAGCTTTGACTCACGGCTGCACCTGGAGGCACTCTGTGTTTGCCCACGCGTGCATCGCCGCTGCACAGGCAGGTATAGCTGCCTCTATACTCGTCTACCTGACCGCCTGGCTATCTGCTATGTGCTTCTTCCGCACGGTAACGGGGTACCGGTCGCGCTTGTATAGCAGTTGGTTATTGGTAGCGAAGGAGCGAGAGAGAAGGTGGTGCGCTGACAATGAGAGTAGAGAGCGACGATAGTGAACGTAGAGGAAAGACTTTTTCTCCTGCGGATTCATTCAGAATTCTTTGTAACGCCGAGGCGCCTTCTCGGTGGAATTTCACGTGGAGACAAAAAGATCATGGAACAACGTGCGATCCGTTCGACGGATATTGATATTAGGATATTCGTAAGTCGAGGATATGTTGAATATTTTTTGCGGGGGTAAAAAAGTTTTTTCTATACTTCATCTTTAAACTTTATATCCGTCTATGGACCACGTGGGCAATGCGTATAACTGTTGGTAGTTGGATCCTACTTTATTACCGTGATACTCGTACGGAATCAGGTGTCCTTAAACCGCGCGGCCATTTTACTTCTTGTACGCTCGAACATTCCAAGTGCAACATCGGCAATCGGCATTCTTACAGGATGATTCTCGGATCTGTCGCAACGGCCATTCCTGGAATTGATCTCTCTGTATAATAAGCCAATAAAATTCGCGCTCACCGCAGTGATCGATATGAATTGATCGTCGGCCTGGTACAGCATCGGGAATCGCAGGATCAAACGATTTTAACACATTCGAATTATTTCGTCCTGCGTTTTTCTCTGAGCGCGTCGTATTTTTACGTAATTCCATTTTCTTTTTTACAAAATATTTTTCATGCCTTTTTCTACCTCCCCATCTACTGTTCACTGTCCGTTGATAAATCTGTTATCAGCGATCCATCCGTGCTTCTGGACCCACGATCGAGCCTCCCATAGATCTTTGCACGAAAACAATTCGAGTAAAAACTGCAGTAAATCTCGTATCGACGAGGTCATCGATATCGATTGGCAAAATTGTAAAGAGTGACAGCGCGAGAAGACGAAAAAAAAAAAGTCGGATGTCAGCCATCGAAAATTTGACTGACAGCCACACGTAAATCCATCTCCGTTTACGCATCAGGAAATATTTTTTTTTTTTTTTTTTTTTTTTTTTTTTTTTTTTTTTTTTTTTTTTTTTTTTTTTTTTTTTTTTTTTTTTTTTTTTTTTTTTTTTTTTTTTTTTTTTTTTTTTTTTTTTTTTTTTTTTTTTTTTTTTTAAATTGCAATATATGCAAGTACCACCGATTGCATCCTGCTTGTAATTAATCCACGAGGTATACCTAATGAAACGTATTTCTTGCCTATAGAGGAAGGATCGACGGGAGCAAATCTTAATACATCCACGCACGAGATGCCGTGTACGTTCTTACACGATTTTAATATCTTTTTGTCAGTCTCCGAGTATTTTTATCCCATCGAAAATTTTATTGGATACGAACACCGTATTGGTATCGGTAGCTGCTTACGCGTTACCTGACCCAGTATGTCAAAGTAAGACAAGCATAGGGAATATAATTTAGCCCACGAGTCTCCTCTATGCGCGTCATTGAAATAACACGGGAATCTGTGAGATTATTGAAATTTCAATTAAGCCACCGTTTGTCAATGTATCGTTCAGATCCTCGTATTAATTAATAATAATTATCTGGATTACACCAGGTTCACTTACGTACACGTATCTCTGGTCCAAAGTGCATAAACGTTAATACACGCTATATATACACGTACGATTAGACACGTAACTACCAACCGGTATCTTTACCTGGTGGCGACTCAAGGGGGACTCAATGAACAGACAGATAGACGTATACTTTTATTAGTGTAATATGCACTTTTGCCGTACTATAATATATTATTATATATCTATCCATGTATACGTACAAGTTTTCCTGAGTGCAGCCTCCTACGGGGCCACTCCGTTCGCCATTTAAACATGTTTGCGACCTGCTTACTGCCGGAGGTGCGATACAATCGGCTGTGACTTACATTGATTTTATTACGGGGACATTCGCTTGTTTATTCGTACCCTAAGTACGCCTACGATGCGATTTTAAAAGCTGCGATCGTTAATGGCCCCAGCGCACTTGGCAAATTTACACGTAAACCTTCACTGATATTTCTTTGGCTGACTGGAGCGCATTTTGACGTGCGGTGCGCATCTCGACTGCAGGATGCATTATGGGTATTGGATTTTTTTCTATCCTTTGTTAAGGGGACGGGGCTCGGCAAAAAACAAAGGTATGCAAGTTAAATGGAAGGAGGAAAAAGTAAGGAAGAAATTTTTTTTTCTCAACTATGCGCGAAGACGCCTGGCGTCTAACGGGACAGCTTTCGGTTTGGTCGAGGGCGTCGTTTGTATGGGCCTTTCTTCTATCACCCGCAATAACTTCTGCCGGCAATTGCAGTTGGAAATATTTGCTAAACATTACTTCGCTCGGCGATGCTATACAGGTATATCCCGCTGCAAGCACTGCGCTGTATGCTAATAAACGTAATAATGCCGTAAAGGCTTTTACAGCCTTCGCGTGTTTCTTGCAACTCAGTGACGGGATATTGTAAGTGCGGAGGCTATTTTATTATTTCGAATTTTACTTTGGCTTCGTTGCAACTCCATTATATATATATATATATATATATGTATATGTATATGTATATATCCTAAGGATCACGACCAGTCAATTGGCAAGTAGGGGACTTGGAGTGGAAAGAAAGAAAAAAAAAAATGTTGTCGCTGGGACTAATGCTTGTCGACGCTGTATGAAAATCGAATAAAGCCAAGTAGTACCGCGGCATAGGTAGCGGCTTAAATGCGTACGTCGTTTGCGGTAACGTTAACGAGAAACATGAGACGAGGAGAAAAAAAAAGAAGAGAATCAAGAAGAATAAGAGGAAGAGCCACCGAGGCTTAATAGCTCTGGCTCAATTTACATGGTAATTACAAAGTTTCCCGGTCCTAAATTACACCTTTTAACCCAGCCGTCAAAAAGTGGACATGGACCTGACGACGGTTCTGGACAATAAAAGTATAATGAGTGCCGGGGAATAAAAGAGCTCCGGGACTTGACTTTCGATACGCGGACCCGATCGAGGATGGTTCCTTTTTTTTTTTCATTTTTCTTTTTCGGGGCTGATTTCTTTTTTTTACGAGTTATCAACTGTTGACGATTCGGGGCATTAATGTACGTATTTCCTTTTGGGTCGGCGACAGGGTCATCTCGATGCACGTATCTCTGGTTAACTACCAATAAAACGGTGCATCCTCCTTTTATGTATTTATCGGTTTTCGACTAATTAACGATATTTATATTTACTCTGAATTATGGGTTGGCTTTTTGGTCGTGGTTCACGGATGCCATTTAATTGACGTTCTCGTTGGTTAATTATTTAATTACGATACTCGAGTCGCGCTCTTTCTGGCACGCACAAACGCCACGGAGGTATGCCGTTTTTATGAAATTATGGTGGGTTAAATGATTGGAAAAAAAAAAAAATTTTTTTTTTTCATTATCAATCACTGCACGGTTCTCAATGGAGTCTGGTACGAGCCCGTGACGATCGTGGAATTCGTGGCAAGGTCGAGTCTCAAATTTTTGTAATTCGTACAAATTTTATATATACATATACGTGAGCGCTTTCGAGTATCGAAAAATTCCAAGAGTAAGTTTCCGGGAATAATATTTGTAAAAGGAAAAAAATGTGAAAATGCATTTTCACATTTTCCATGAAATAACGATAGCTTCAATTAGGACTGTGGCCTTAATGACACGGGCCGATCAAAACTGGAGATAACGAAGTCGTTGGTAGTTTCACCAGGATGGGCTTTGCTCATTCTTAGTAGAAACTTTCTAGCAGTGATAATACGTTGATTTCACTTACTTAGTAACGTATTATTGGCCATTATCTTTATGGCATTGGGAATTTCTCATTTCCATTCGAGTAACGCTTAACGGGCGGCCCCCCGATTATCGTGTTTTCCTGCCCCGCCGGCCGATCGGGTCGTTTAAGTAGCGAAAGTGCAGCGGCGAACCATCCGCTGACGTGGAACGAGAGATCGATAAGAATTTCGAAAAAAAAAAACAAGAAAAAAAAATCGTATCCCAAATCAATCGATATAATCATACGGATCCCCGGATACGCTATTAAAAAAAAAAAAAAGTGTCCGGAAGTGGCTGAAAAAAATAAATTTTTTTTTTTCTTCCGTTTAATCCCAAGATGCATTCTTGCAGTTAAATTTATGCGTTCGTGTGAGCCTTGAAGGCACCTGCACATGTCGACCTATACCCGTCGGCTGTTATGTATATTTCGTTACATGTATTTATGCATGAGCCTGTAGACAGAGTGTGTATAGAGAGCGTTTCAATATTGCCGACGGTATGTGTGATAGGGCGTGGACCCTGTTACCGATTCAGATAGTCGGTAGGCATAGGCGCTGAGGTTAGGTTGGGTTACGTCTCACCGGTACGTATTCGATAGGAAAATCGATTGATCGATACGTTTTGTTATGGTGCATTCGAGAAATGTTATTATTTGTTGCAGTCAATTGATTGCAGGTGCATATAAATGCATCTGAATGAATATAACCTATTCGACGTACTACCAAAGACGTAGGACT